ACACAAATTATTTCCACACTAGCCTGGCACCACCAGTCAAAAGATAAAGCCTGGGGCTAAACATTAAGACCTCATGTACACAGGGAAATAATAATGATCCGAGGTGGGTGGGATGGGGAGAGAGCATGAGGCAAGGTTTCTGCTTAGATCGCTTATCCATCACGCAGCTACATGGCTCCCAGGGGCTAAAAGGGAAAGACTACCACCAGTTCTAGACTTTATACAATTTCAGCTCGGGCCCCAAGCTATCAAACCACACTAGGGCTTACACACACACACATTTAGCCCATAAAGGATATTTAACTTGCCAAGGCTATAATCTTTAGTTATTTTTAGGAAATTTTCAATCTCAAGAATACGACTCTTGAATTTGGAATGATTCTAATCTGAACGTTACCTTTAACATTGTAGGCAGAAATCCTACAAACATCTGCCATCTCAAATACATTAAGAAATGACTAAGGACTGGTTCAATACTAAAACTGGAAAGGAGCAAAGCTGTAGGTTGAGACACCAGTGAGCAGAGATGGTTTCAAAACCCTGGAAATAATGGTTTTCTAGTTTATAAGTTGTCACAAAACTTTTTAAATTGTAGGCTTACAGGAATTGTAAGACATTTGTGAAATCAGAACAAATAATCTGACTGAACAAGAGTTGTTCACTGTATCAATAAAATTCAGCTCCATGTGGTCAACATTTATCTCTTTATCTCATTTTAAGAAGATACAATTTAAAAAACTGAATCGAGATACCATTAGACACTGTATTTTTTTTAAATAACAAATTGGTTTTTAAAATATTCTACACTTTTTCTTAGCAACTGTATTACAGTATTTATATAGACATACTTAAAAAGTAGGAGCCTACAGATTACACTTTTTTCTTTTTTTTTTGAGACAGAGTTTCACTCTTTTTGCCCAGCCTGGAGTGTAATGGTGTGATCTCAGCTCACTGCAACCTTTGCCTCCCAGGTTCAAGTGATTCTCCTGCTTCAGTCTCCCGAGTAGCTGAGATTACAGGCATGTACAACCGTGCGCAGCTAATTTTTTTGTATTATTAGTAAGGACAGGGTTTCGCTATGTTGGCTGGCCTAGTCTGGAACTCCTGACCTCAGGTGATCCACCTGCTCCAGCATCCCAAAGCACTGGCATCATAGGTGTGAACCACTGTGCCTGGCCAGATTACACTCTTTACCCTGACAACCAGATATAGAGCTATATAAAGTTTTGAAAATAGGCTCCATTTCCACTAATTGCCAGCATAAGTTTCTAGGAGAATATTAATATCAGCTAATTTTAATATATTTATACTTCACCTAATTTCAAGAAAAGATGTGACAAGACATAGGACATGTATTCAGAAAATATATTCTTTAATAAAATACTCTTTAACCAAAATATTATTACCGAAGTTCTTTAACCTTCCTTTTCAAAATGCTGAAATGTCAAATTTGCAATTTTATCAAGTATGGTAGAGAGAGGAAGAGGGAAAAATGCTTCGTCCCTGCTTGAAAACAACTCACTATTAAACTGGGAATTATTTTTACTTCAATAAGAAAGATATCAAATCCAGGCACAGTGGCTCATGCCTGTAACCCCAGCACTTTAGGAGGCCGAGGTGGGTGGATCACTTGAGCTCCGGAGTTGGAGACTAGCCTGGGCAACATAGCAAAATCCCATCTCTACAAAAAAACACAAACATGGGCCAGGTACGGTGGCTCATGCCTGTCATCCCAGCACTTTGGGAGGCCAAGGCAGGTGGATCACTTGAGGTCAGGAGTTTGAGGTAAGGAGTTTGAGATCAGCCTAGCCAACATAGTGAAACCCTGTCTCTACTAAAAATACAAAAATTAGCCGGGTGTGGTTACACTCACCTGCGATCCCAGCTATTCAAGAGGCTGAGGCAGAATTGCTTAAACTCGAGAGGTGGAGGTTGCAGTGAGCTGATATCGCGCCATTGCACTCACCATTGCACACGGTCACAACAGCCTGGGCGACAGAGCGAGACTCAGTCTCAAAAAAA